ACAAGTGTAGTCAACTGTCTCGTTAGTAGTTAGTGCCTATCTACGGTAGTAAAATAGGGTGACCCACCCCGTAAGGGTAGCTGAAAATTGCACGACCCAGCCCTTGCACAAGGCTCAAAACCTCATGACCCACCCCCCTCTCTGCTCCGGCCCACCCCCGCTATTCTTTTTGACCAGTCCCTATATACACGCGATTTTCGCAGTCGCATATACCATTTGTTGTTTATCTTTTTTGCGTTCAAGAAGGGGGAGTAACTCACTACCAAGTTATCGTTCAAATACTTAGCTCCCATACCAAGTGGTGGTATCAGAAAAGACTGCAAAGTAAGAGGCTTCACTGGACAACAAAAATAAGTTTCTTTATTTTACAATTCCTTCTAGTTTTACTCCGAGGTTGACCGATATGGGATCTGTCCAATGATATGATGGCCTTGTTTAAATCAAGGTTACCTGATAACGGTGGAACAAACTTGGAAATACCCCCATCGATTTCTGCTATAATAGCTAAATGGAATAAAGATTTATTTGCAAACAGAAATCTACCTTTTTCCACTACGGGGAAAAATTTTGAGGGGTGGAGCGGGAGAGCTTGGGTGATTTGAGAAATATATATCCTGCAGAGAGACTTGCGGCGAAAAAATTCTCGCATATTTCACAACGAATCAGCGTTTGTACTATGAGCCAATAAAACTGTTGATGGCCTTTTTCACTCAAGACACTCAAGACAGTCGAGTGTGAATCTTCGGCCACCGTTTTGAATTTTCGTCTCTAAAAACCGATGACCTAGCAGCCCGGTCTTGCGCCAATGATCTGCCCCAGAGGGGGAGGATTTGGCTCCTTTTTTACAGGAAATTCATAAATTGTCTACTAAAACATTGTGAATTATTATGGAAGGAAGGCCAATTTAAGCACTAAAAGCTGCTCCGACATCTCAGAAGATAAAAACTAGAGAAATTGCTCAAAATGCTAAAAGTTGCTCGAAATACTAAAAGTTGCTTTAAAGTTCCCAAGGAACTAGTGGAAAGCCCTAGGGTACGAGTAGTTCCCATTTTACCTCAAGGATAGTAGCAACCTCGTCCCCAGGGCTTCACCCTTGGGATAGTAGCATGATAGTAGAGTGAGCGAAACACGACCGCGCGTGAAAATCACCCCTCGCGAGAGTAATGGGCTCGTATTTTGTAGAAGTAAAGTCTCGGTCTTGGATTTGATAAAAAAAAGCATTTTTCTCTCGGTGTCGAATTTTTAGACCAGGGTCTTGCAGTCTCGCAAAGTCTTGAATTCACCATTCTATACCCCTAGAATACCGCGGCAAGATTAACTGTGTGCGTGAAGAAGACTGATCACATTACTCCTGTTGTAGTGGCTGCCTGTTAAGGACAGAATAATTTTTCAGTTACTGTTGATTACGTACAAATCTCTTAATGGCCTTGCCCCGGTGTACATTAACGAGCTGTTACATCATTATACTCCCTCAAATGCATAGGAAATAGGTGTTTCTGAGTCGCATTTTTTAAAATTTGGATTTCAAACTTACCTCCAATCTCTTTCCCAGGTTCTTCTCGTTTTCCAATATGGCGGCCTACCGCCGCCATATTGGAAAACGAGAAGACCCTGGGGACGAGGTTGCTGAGTTTATACTTTTAAACTAAGTGTCTGGTGTAAGGAGAGTACCCTCGCCTTTAACAACGACAAAACCAAGGTTATGATCCTCTCCACCCCGCAAATGTCCAGAGTACATCACCTTGACGAGTATGATCCTAACATCACAGTCAGTGGTTATAAACTAGAACGTATTAAATCTTGCAAACTGCTTGGAGTTCACATCAATGAACACCTTAAGTGGGACGATCACATCAAGCACACGGTATCAGGATGCTACGCCACTCTATCAATACTAAGAAAACTGAAATATCTCGCCAAAAATGAGCTCAGAAAGCAGCTAGCAGAAACATAGATTTTGTCAAAACTAGATTATGCCGATCTGGTTTTTTACCCTTTACCACAATTCTTACTTCGCCGTTTGCAAAGGGTTCAATTTGCTGCTGCAAGTTTTGTACTCGGTCACTATGTTAAGAACTTTCGGGATGTACTTAAAATCGGATGGCTTCCAATCAATGAGAGAAGAGATCTGAACCTCCTGAAATCATGTTTTAAAGCTTTGCATAACGCTGAGACTTGGCCAGATTATCTTAAAATAATAAAACAGGAATGCCCCAAGGAACTGCGCTCAAGCAATTCAATTAGATTAGTGGTCCCGACCGAAAACGGCACTTTCCAAGATAATGCGTCGAAGCTATTTAATAATCTACCAGAAACTGTAAAGATTACAGAACCTTTTTAAGACTTTCAAGGAATTTTTTAAGAAACAGAGTACAAAGCGATAGTTTTTACTGTAATTGGATTCCGTTGATCCTGCTTCTACTGTATAATTTGTAAATAACTTAATTTGATTTATTTTGTAATTGTAATTAATGTAATTTAACAGGGAAGAGCCACCCAGTGGATCTGTTAATAAATCATCATTATTATTATTATTATTATTATTATTATTATTAACTTTGCTTTTTGCGCATGCACGAACTTAGGAAGCTTATATGTTGTATCCGGTTCAGAGGGCCGCGAAGTGTACGATCGCGCCCTGTGAAGGGCTTTGTGGCAAGTTTTTATAGCTCTTTACAGCCAGACAGTGACCAGAAAACGGCTCGACTATAGCTTCAAAACGAGATTTTGGGCAAAATACGCGGGAGCAAATGGGTTAAGAAATAACTTTGTTTTTAAATTTTAGCAAAATGACATTCTCAAATTCCATAACTTTCTTCTGGCTTTTCCATGACAGCGTACAAACCCTGTAATAGTTTTTGCACTTCTATGAGCTTTCGAAAATCACAATAACGCGTGTATTCCATATAATGAAATATTTTAATATTCTAATGTACTAAACATTTGTTTGCCATCTTACTGGTTTACAAAGTACAGTCACTATGTTATATCAATTGGCTTGCTTAATAAATAATCACAGGAAAAAATAACGGATTCCCATATTTGGATGTTTTAGGGTATTTAAAGATTACCCATAAAAATCCCAAATTTGGCAAAGTCCCAACCAGGGAATTGCCAACCAAGTTCCCTGACTGGGACTTGTTTCACTCTTCCAAATTTGGGATTTTTGTGGGTATTCTTTAAATACCCCAAAATATCCAAAAATGGGAATCTGTTATTTTTTCCTGTGAATAGGTACAAAATAATACAAAGACAATTCAAAAGTTAAAAAAATCAATACCATGTTTTGCACTGAAAATAAAAAAAGTCTAAAAATGTTTTTAAACTACTTTTAAACACATGAAATATTCAAGATAGTTAAACTTGCCGGCCTAGAATTGCCTATTGTAACAAACTCAAATGGGACCGCCCAATGGTAAACATTAACAGACCAATCATTGGTCACGTGGTAACTCAGCTGGATGAAATAAAACTACTGAAAAAAAGTTCAAAATGCAACCAGTGGTACCGTGCGTATTTAGTTGCGTGTGAACAGAGGAAACATATTGAACAATTCCCAGTGACGGAAATATCCGATAAAATTTTTTAGCCAGTCGAAACCTCATCCTCTTTGTATTGAGTGAACGAAGCCAATGAAAGTGTTGATGGCCCCAGTTGAGTATTATCGTTGCACTGTACGTAAATATGGAGCATCGGAGGATGCAAAGGTACCTCAAGGCTCCTCTATTCCTTCACGGTATGCTCCAATGAAACGAAAATCCCAGCCTGTATTGAGAACCTATCTAGTATAACGTTAGCAATAACATAAATTTTACTATATTACGTCCTTTGGTTTATACGCCTTGGCCCGGTTGGTTAAGTTTAGCCTAGGATTACGCCACATTTTAAGCAAGGTTTTCTCGTCTAAGAACATGCAACTCGAGCTTAAAAAACTGTGGAGCCTTTACTCCGAGATACAGTCATGATAACACAAATTGTTAACCTAAGCAATACATAGGAAAGTAAAAATAAAAAACGGAACAAAATTTTAATCCTGGATTAATCGGCCTTCCAGGAACCAGGCCCAGGTGCTGCTGGTAACAATAATGGCCGATTAACCCTTTCACCTCTTTGTCAGAACATTTGCACAGTACTATTCATTAATTTTGTTACAAACTTTAAAAAAAATGACTTTTTTACGAATCTTTTCAACTTTAACCACTTAATTAAGAGTGAAAGGGTTAACAAAATATTTGTGGAGCACGTATTACACAACACGTTAAACCTTAAGGTTTTTAAGCAGGCTAAACCGTTGGTGTATTACTACGACAGCCTCTTAAGAGAACGATCATACTAACTTAAAGTATAACTACCTGTCTCGCAAACTCTTTTGAAACTTGGTGTTAATAGCGCTGCACTCAAGGTTATAAGCCCTGCAGGACGGGGATAGGAACTGGATGAACCGCGACCAGCCGCGAATTTCTCTGAAAAGACCCCTACTTATTTCTTGATTCTTTTCTTTCAATTATTATTTTGTTGTTGTTGTTGTTCTGTATTATCCTTAAATGCGTAATGCAAATCATATCAAGCATTATTTCGGAAAAAACACACGACAAGTTTGCGTGCAAGCTCAACACACGAAGTTCGGAGCTGAAACCGGTCTTTGAGCCATCGGCAGGGAAGATGCCAAGTCAGTTTTATTATTACCATTTATTATTGCCCGCATTTTGAATTATGAAAACTATAAAGATCCACGATAATGGTAACTAAGTTAAACGCAATAAAGTCTGTCCGAGACTCAGGGCGATGATATAAGGGGTCTATAAACAGATCGTAGTACAATTGTAGCTAACAACTGAAAAAATTGGTTCCATATAACTATTATACTAAAGCTTTAAAAAAAGAAGGGGGCTAATTCCCTTTTAACAACGAGAGGAAGAGATCTCACGATCACCTTGGTCTCTTCCCTTGGTTTTTTTACGACTTCCTTTCTTCTCCTTCTCAGAAGCAGGACCGTTAATTTTTAAAGCAGCCCAACCAACAAGTCCAGGAATAAAATACGAAGAGAAGGCTTTAAGCACTTCTCCTACCGCCATTTCCTGACCAGTATTTGCTTGTCCTACAAGGATTACTATAACGAAAAGTAACAGTACAGCAAGACAACCAACCAGACAGAGGAAAAAACCCTTATTGGAATCATATTCGCCATTATAATTATTACTGGTAGTATTTCTACCACTGACACTATGGAGTTCTCTATTTTCATTAGACTGAAATGCCTCCAGGTAGATGTATCTTGCATAAGTGACAGCAGCGGAAACAGAGATAATAAAGAGAGCAATAGTTAACCCCCAGGCCGGATTAATCCTTATTCCAATAATAAGCCAGCAGAATATATAGCTTATTGGGTTTGCTCCCCATGACAAGGGAACACAAAAGTACTCTAGAAAAGTGATGAAAATTAGAAGTGAAAGAATTATAGTCATGTCCCAATGTTTATACTCTACCCAATAATATATAGAGAATCCAAATGCAGTCAGAATGATAGGAACGCTTAGAAGAGACAGAAAGTAAAAGGAAAAACAAATGGCTTTTGCTGTACTTTTCTTCTTCCTGCTACTTTCCTGTTTAAGTGTGTCCATATATACAGCCAACAAAAGGCCACTAGAAATTGCAAACATCACAGATAACCATAACATTACTCTGATGTGTATACTTCGTCTTGTGGTTACAAATTTAGGTTCATGACCCTGTATAACACTCTCCGCTGTATTCACAGATGGATCCCGGATAGTAGGAAGCACAGCTAGATCCTGCTGCTGTAGAGCAAACAGAGAAAAATACAGTGATAATAATAATGATAATAATAATAATAATAATAATAATAATAATAATAATTTATAATAAAAACGATAATAGTAATAATCACAATAATAATAATAACAACAACAATAACAAATATAAACAACCTCATTCCCATGTTGAGAACCCTGGATATGAAATTTTAATGTAATAATACTGTAATAATAATAATAATAACAATAATAATAATAATGATACAGGGCTGTCATTGAGAGGTGGGGGCCAGGGATTTCCCCTGGCTACTTTCTTGGGAAAGTAGAAGAAAAATAGAATTAAAAGAAAACCCTAGCTTTCTGATTTCCCACCTACTTTGTTGTATTTACCCTACCCAGCAACTTGAAATCTTAGTGACAGCCCTGATAATAAATTATAAATTATAATTGTTATGATAGTGGTGAAACGCCTGTGGAACTGTAAAGAAGTAAGGTATAACTGTGCTTGTACTGTTTGTCATTGGCCCCCTTAGAACTGCTAGCAAAATATTCAATCAGATCTAAAGAACTTAGCAGGTCTTGATGGAAGTATGCAGCCATTAAAGAATGCTTGAGAAAGGTGATGGAAACCTAACGCAACAGGGGTCACCTGGTACCAGGGAATGATCTGGTTGGCAAAGACCAAAAAACCATCAGACCTAATAAAGGTTTTCCAAAGACTTAAAATTGAGTCAAAAAATATTAAGAACTAGAATCAAAATGGAGCCATTGATTGAGGGCATTTATCACAGTTTGAATATTATGTTTGCTGTGCCTTCTCTGTGGAAACTGAATGTAACAAGGTAGATACCGTGACGGCACACTGCGACAAGTGCCACCTTACTGAATGTCCCTACAAAAAAACACGTGCTTACAAAGCAAAACCATTTGTAGGCATGCAGTCACATACTCGTGTTGTGTAGCAACTTTTCACCTACACATGCACCGTACTTTGATAAATTAAATCAACAGTACAACATCTCCCCTCTACTTGTATAGGAAATGGGAAAAAGAAAAGAGAATGTCTAGTTTGATTTTGGGGTTATTTACCCTTTTTGCTTTATTTCCTTTGACTAGAGACTTCAAAACTGACATAATGACATACAAAGACTAGAGCCACATGAGCTCTTCTTGTTTATGTACCCAGTTACAGCACATTTGACCTTCAAATCACGATTTTTCTTACAAACTAATTTACAACTCCACAGCAAAGTTATTACAGTTTATGAAAACTGTAATAACAAAAATACATAAACTAGCCTTTTCATTGATATGTGAAATTTTTATGGAGAATGATTATAATTAAGTATGGTAAGATAGCACTCATAGCTGTAGAAATCAAAGTCATATGATCTACTATTCATGGGCTACTTAAGCCGAGAAAGAGACCTTAAAGTTAGTGAAAAACAAATGTAGAAACGAGCAAAATGGCAGTGATAATCAAACAAAAGCCTGGTTACCTTGAGTTCTGTGAGATGCACATTAATCATGTTGTTGATTATGTTGTAAGCATATCTTTTAGAGCAATAAATTGATTGAGATTTTCAATGAAACAAATTTTTACTAACTGTGTCAGGTTACCAACAATCGGCAACAAAATGAGTTGAGACACTTCGCCCAAAAGTAGGCTTTTTTACGTTTTATGAACTTCAAAAGGAGGAAACATAGCTTTCCTCCCCCATCCCCTCCGTACAATGTTGGGCCCTTGTTCTAGCTACCTATAGAAAACAACAAACACCACAACTTTGAATGGAGGGGACAGGGGAGGGGTGCGGATTCTTTTGTTCTCCAAAGTCACCCTATTTAAGTACAATGTCTCAACAATTTTGTCGCCGATTGAAGGCTCATTTTTAGTAACCTTGAACGCTAGATATACTAACCATTAGTTATCTGGTTACCATTAATTTGGAGCCCTGGAAGTGTCTGTCTTATTTTTTAAGGAAGTCAAAAATTAAGGAGTAAAATTCAAAAGCTATTAGCTTTCAAAATAATCACTTACCTGATACAGTACTCCTCTAAGAAATCTTTTCTTTTTGTCATCTGATATGTTGCAACAAAATGCAGGAATTTGTATCTCTAATTCTTGTCTTTGAAATGTCACAAAAATGGAGCCCAAGGACAAAATTTGAAGCAACCATTCAGGAACATTAGCATACAGACAGTGTATGCTCCAAGTAAACTTTGCTGGTTTTGAATTGGATGTTTTATTGGGCCCAAAAACATTTACTCTTACAAGAAATGATGGCTTTGAGCCTTCAGGATACAAGGCATCAGATATGTTAAAATTGCTCTCACCCTTTGTTAAGCTTGTGTAAACTTGTTCAAAGGTGGAACTGCAAGATGTTGTGTTGGTGGAATTCAAGCAATGCTTGAAGACATCAGCCTCATCAATGTCTTCAGCAAAAGACATTATAATGTGGAGGATGCTGCACCAAATAATGAGCCAAACATTTTCCACTATGTGCATGCTTGTAGTGTGTCTGTTCAATGCACTGAAAACTTCTCAAAAAGCTGAATAAACAAAAACAAGAAAAAGTTTACTTTACTTTAAGCAACAGTTTACTACTACTAATGTAACCTGTATGATTAGGACTATCAGACAGCCTTTATTAATTTCACTATAAAAGCTTTGTTATACAACATCTAAAATATTGTAAAACTTTAACACTCCAAACATAAAACCTGACAGAACATTGACAAAGGGCTATACTCTAGCTCGCTTTAAGTGCAGAAGTATCCCTAAATAAATTCCCTATCAATCTTAATATGTGGCTACAAACAGTACTTTTACATAATTTTGTCGTTTGTTGTCATTTGTCGTTTTTTTACATTTGTTGTTCTACGCTTATAAAATGTGCATGACAGGGTCAACTTTTGGATTTGGGGTTTTTAATAATGTTTTATAACAGTAATTTTCTGTTCCTTTAAAACTTCCAAAGGAAAGTAAGGCACTCTCCATTTGTCAGAACTGGCCGGGCCAGACTTATTCCCATTGGAATGAGAATTTCACTTTTAATCAAAACTATCCAGCCAGATGAGTCAAATCACAAAAGGTACTCAAGATGGAGATGATTTTTCAGCAAAATCCCTTTGGAAAACACCGATTTCATTTGCTAACTGACTTGTCCAGCAATGGTCTGGCCGGCCAGTTCTGACAAATTGAAAGTGCCCTTAGTTTCAGATTTATTTCTGTTCGATATTGCATTTAAAGCCCTTCTAACTATCTAAGTGAATGCGAATCTATCGGATGGGGCGATCTACGAGTAGCATATTCGTTTCTTGTACGGAAAGACTTCTCACAGGCAGGGACAGAATTGCAACAAGTTGTAGCATTTTCCATGGGGAACGTGGAAGAGCATTATTGTTTCTGCAGCTTGCGCACAGGCTAACTACCTCATTGAATACTGTATTTAGTTAAGCATTTGGGGTAAATATAGGGTCAAAGACTCCATGCAATAATTTTGCAATATATATATCATGCATATCATAATCCTGCAATAACAATGTTTGTTCCAAAAAGACTTCCAGGTCTGTTCATCTGCAAAGCCTTCTGGGAGTTCTGCCCGCCATTTTGTCATTTTTTGACATAGATGGAAGGTAATTCTTGATTGGGCATTGCCCTCACGAGCAGCCCAAAGAAAATGGACTACCCTGGGACCTGGCTCTGCAGCCCCTTATGTAAGCCATACAGGTATGTGTTGCCCCATTGGGTAGGGTTTTTGCACTGTTTTGGTCTGAAAACAGGTATACAGTTTGCCCATTTTGGTCTGGAATGGGGTATAGTTATCAAGGGAGCTACACAGTGTATGAACGTACTTACCGTTTGAATTCCAAATGAGTAATAAATAAATAAATATGCAAATATAAAATGGATTTGAAAAATTTTTTGCTTTGCGCTCTAATCTAAGTAATCATAACATAATTTCTGCCCAAAGGCCAGGTCTGAAAGCGGGTATGGATTTTAGAGGTCTAGTCTGAAAACGGGCGTGGAAAATAACATTGTTTGGTCTGAAATCGGGTCAGGATTTGAAGAACCAGGCGGCACACCCTCACCAAGAATTTCAAGGAGTACTCCCCAGTACTCTACAGTGGGGGTAAAGGCTTTAAAAAACTTTGGCGAGCGAAGGGAGCCGAGCGGCAGTCTGAGGAGGGGAATGGGTCCACCACTCGGCTCGCTTCGCTCGCCGATTTTTGCTGCTTCACCCCGTTTTATAACCCTTTCCCCACTACGGATGCTGGTCTCATACTGAAAATGGGCTAGGTGCATGGTCAAGACGAAACATAAACACAATTATGTCGCGTGATGTACGTACTTAGTGGAAAGACGTCTCAATCGCGTGGATTTCGGGTAGTTAGTGTAACTCTTCATAAAATAAAACAAACCTTCGATAGACTGTTCACAGTGTCCTATTTTTCCACAAAATCGTCGAGTTCTCGCGCTTAACGGGTTATTATTCATCTCCATATTGCATCATTTTTCGTGCTAAGGGCGGCCATCTTGGTTTCAAAAACTCCGAGTCTAGCCTGGGGAGGAGTGTCATTATTCTGTCAAATCTCGTCAAATCTAATGTCAAATCTCTTGCCAAACTTACGGCCGGGGATTTGGACGGGCATTGGGCCGGGGGACGGTTTGGGTTCTTTCTTCTCGCCTGCTCCCAAAGCGTCCCCCGCCCGCTAAGTAGTTAAGGTAAATGGGAATATTTTGATGGAAATAGTTTTAGTAAATGCTATGATAGTTAAGGGCAACAAACAAATCAACAGAAATGCATTGTTTAGCCATCTATTCAAATGAGCTACTTATTCCGAAGCTGTTCAAAACACTCACGCCCGAGGTGAGGGGTGGTGGGTACTGCCATAGATGGGCTATATAGATATGTGCTGCTGTGAAGGGTATAGTTTTCAAGCAGTTTACTCTGAGGTAGGGTATATAAATCAGAGAGTTTGGGTCTAGAATAGAGTATAATTTTGTTTAAACTGATCAGTTGGTTGAAGATTTTAGTCTAGACTAAGCAAAACAGAAATTGCCACTCAAAAATATTAAAAAATCAAACCGGTAAGTTTAAATTTACCCAATTCATTCTAAAAGCTACTCTAGGATAGGGGGATTTGGGGACTGAGTTTAGTCTAGTATAGGGTAGCAAAATTCAGCTGAACTACTAGTGTAGGGTATAGGCTAAGGGTTCCAAGGTCCCAGCGGCACATCCCCACCCAACAATTCCTAAAGTACCCTCCGGGTAATAACGTCAGCACGTGTTTTAACACTGTTTGCAAACTCGAGCACGAAACGCGAGAATGTTTAATCAGTGATAAAGTTTTAAACATTTTTTGGGTCTGTTTACAAGGAGGGAGGGTAACCCTCGCTGGTGCTGGGGCTACCCTAGCACTCGCACATTTCTTCTTTTTTTACATGACTAACGTTTTTCAATCCATATATGCAAACAACTATACAATCGGAGTGTTTTTAGATCTTGCCAAGGCATTCGATACAGTACATCATCAAATTCTTTTAGAAAAACTTGAATACTATGGAATGAGAGGGGTTACTACTACTACTAATAATAATAATAATAATAATAATAATTTATGAACTTATTGTGCGCAACTTACAACTGCATAACTTTACAAAAAATAACAATATAAAAAGAATATATATATGTCTGGATTTGATAAAAGGTACCTCCAGAAATTTTTAGCAACAGTCTCATTTGAGGCTTGTTCAGTACTTGACCATTGCCCCCCCCCCCCCCCCCCCCCCCCCCCCCCCCCCCCCCCCCCCCCCCACCCCCCCGCAGCTCTCCCCTACCTATCATTTCCCATAATTCTCTCCTTGTCATAAAACACTATGACATTTGAAATCTGCGCGCGCGGTAGCAGTTATTTTCCGTGGTCGGTTGATTTTCTAGGTTTCTTTTTGGCCGCCTGCAGCAACGTTTTCCGGAAAGCATCATTAAGCCTTATGAAGGAACAAGTCTTACAACTGGCAAAGTCTGCCGTCGTCCAATATGTTACCGTATTTCGTCTCATTTCGGCTAAACGGGTGAAACACTGATCTCTCGGGCTTGAGTCGGAGACGCATCATATTGCGAGCTTTGATGTGGGCGGTGACGAGTCTCTGGCCTTAAAAAGTAGTTTTTAGGAGTCAAAACTATTCGGCGAGGGCAAAATTGATGCTGATTTCTGACCAGGCCAGAGACTTAGTAAAAATTTGTTTTGAAGGCCGGCGTCCAGGTGTCCCCTTCAAAACGGCTCGTCTACATCCGGGATCTTGAATAAATCGACTGTGTCAACAAAGTTTACATGTGATGATTTATGTGGAGAAAACGAGAGTTATTGAGAGAGAGAGCTAGAGAGTAATGTGATGATATTTCACCCGTATTAAGTGTGGAAACATTGTGTCTGGTTGGTTGTGGATAGTTTTATCAGTGCCGCGAACATGGTTAATTGTGTGATCTCCTAAAGTTGTTGACAGACAGATTTCAGGTATGTCGTGGCGCTCGTGTTATAAGAATATTGTGTACAAGCATAAAAATGCCTTGCAAGTGTTTAGTTGAAGTGATTTTGTCTTAGACAACCGATTGTGGGGTCAAGAGAGGTGATTCTAGGTCTGTTTTAGTCGGCCATCTCGAGCTCGCTATGAGCCTCATTTATATAGTTTAAGAGACTGAAAGGTCATTATTTCTGTGCTTTTAAATGTTGTTCATTTCGTTACAAATCTGTGGCTTTTGCCAAGAGCAACTTTCGTGTGTTGCCAGCCATTAATTCGTCCGTTTTAAGCCCTAACTAGCGACTTTCAACTGCTTTTTATTGACCTCAAGGATCAAATTGTTAAAACGCACTTGAAATCTCTGGAGGTACTTTTTATCAAATCCAGACAGATATGCATGCAAGTAAGTAACTGAATATAAAATTGATCACCAATATACAGTTCTAAGAAGATAAGTTTTGATATGCCCCTTAAAACTGTTCATATTGGTAATCGCACGAAGTTCTTTTGGAAGAGAGTTCCAGAGCGTTAGCGCTGCCACCATAAAGGCTCTGTTACCTAACATAGTCTTCGATCGATCGAATAGCTGGCATAGAAAGTAAAAAACTACCTGAAGATCTAAGATTATATAAAGAAGATTTAATTGTTAGTAAATCGCACAGATATTTAGGGGCAAGGCCGTGAATTTCCTTGAACGTTATAAGCAGTATCTTAAATTGTATACGGGCTTTAACAGGTAGCCAATGCAGACCACACAGAAGGGATGGGATGTGGCAAAACCTAGGCGCATTACAAACTGGCCTGGCTGAGGCGTTCAAAACTCTCTGCAATTTGTTAAGCTGGTAGATGGGCAGCCCATACAAAAGACTTGCAATAATCAACACGAGATGTAATAAATGCATGGACAAGCATTTCCGTTGATTCTCGAGACAAATACTTGCGAATTAGCTAGATTTTATGCAAATGGTAAAAAGTAACACCAG